AAAAATTAGGTATTTCCGGTATGTAGTTAGACTTCATATGCCTATCTATACTGATAAATTTCTATATTTTAAAATCTTTTTAAATAAAATAATTAGGGGCTGCTCGGCTTATAAAACTAACATACTATTTTTCATTATTTAATAAGTAATCTAAAAACTTCGTCAACGTATGGGTATTCTAATGAGTATTTTGAAAATTCCATTTGTAATTCTAGGCAGTATCAGTGACAACAAATTTTACATCTTTCAAGGTTATCAGCTAGAATTATACACAATAATTGTCTATTTAACCTATTTATAAAATAGATAACTAATTAATTTTTAGCATTATTATTTTATAGTCAAGAAAATATATTGCAAACAAGAGCACTTTTTAATAATAAATTTTCATTTAGGTGTTACAAATCAGCATTTATTTCAGCATACGTAAAATCCCCTTGGTTAAAAGATATGAGGTACTAGGTAAATCTATAAAATACTTTATACCTTTACTTATAATTGTAAATATGCTACTATTAGAAAGTTTTTTCTAAAAGTTAAATATATGTATAATTATTGTGTAATTAATGATAGTTTCTTTAATTTTGTAAAGTATGACACGCCTGTTCTTCTAATACGAAAAGTTAAAATGTATGTATACGGCATTGCTTTTAGTATTAATTTCATATGAAGGAGTGTCCAGCAGATTGCATGTTTTCTCTATTGTTAATGAGAAAGCTATACGAGAACAGGTTGAAAAGTTTCTGACTTAAATATGTATATACCTATACCTATAACAGCAAAAAAAAATCATAATCTGCACAAAATCAAAACTTAGCAAGACCCCACACAATTATCGGTTACCATTAACGAATTAGCAGTTGATTACCTCTACTAAGTAACTGTAATTATTTTTATAGAAAGTTGTAAATATTCTAATGTACTCTCGTATGATCACAATGTTAACAGAAGGTCTTTCTACTTAAACATACTGCCCAAATATAGGTGTTTAAACAAATGTTAAATTAAACACGAAAAAGGTTAAATTAACAATCCACACAAGTCACGTACAAGATAAGAATTATGCATTAAGTGAACGTCTAAAAAAGAACGTTCTATAATTTTATATTTATAATTAAAAATTAATTTCAATAAGCAACTAGTACGTTAGTAATAATTTCAATTTGCATATCTCAAAGTGAAATTTAAATAGAATTGTGTTTCCGCATTGCGAACAGTATATTAATTATGTGAAACTAGAGTAAGTAGTGAACGTCAGCAATAAAATCTCTCACCAGAACACAGAAGTGCACTTTTCAATCTACCAAAAAACAAAAAAAAAAAACAAATTCAATATCTCATGAATAAAACTTGAACATTTTCGTTTCAATTAAAGTAGTTATTTATGTTAAATTTTATAACGTGAAATAAAGTTCTACACAATATTTCATATATTTTGTCTCAATTTTCAATACAAATAACAGTCAGACGATCGAAGAAAGTACTTCATTGTTATAACAAGAAAGTATCAATTAAATCATAAACGCAGGTGTGCCGTATAAGAGGTCATTCAAGTATTCGGCAAATTTTTCGAAATTTTATATCTCTCATCCCTTCAACAAGAAAATTGAATCCTCCCTCGTTCCTACGTTTAAGAGTAAAACGTAATAACTTTCAAGTTACCTTTAGTCAGTAAATAATTTTTAATTCAACATCATTGTCATCGCATTTTTTAATAGTTAGAACACTTCACATCCCTAACTATTTGCGAACAGTACTCTAATATCTGCCCTTACTTGTTCCTGTTCCAGCTTCTAATATGTTTAACTAACCCTTCATGTCTCAGAAGTCGTGCTATCACAATATCTCACTTTTTCCTTATTGACTGTCACTATTAAATTGATTGCTTAAAATATATTCATTGCTTCAAAAGTATACAATTTATTTAGGTCATACTATCTTATTGTATAATAATAGATATTACTAAGAGTAGAACAGAGAACGCAATGAAAGTCAATAAGAATAGAGGAGGTAAGTTGGTAGGACACCTTCTCAGTCATGAAAGGCTAATATTAGAGGCAGAAACAGTAGTTGAGAGGAGTAAAGGTAGACCTAGATTAGATTACTGTTCATAAATAGTTATGTATTTGGGATGTTCTAGTTTTAGGAAAATGCGAAGATTAGCTCAGGATAGAAAATAGTGGAGGTGCGTGTCCAACCAGTTTTTAGGATTTACGACCTTATGATGATGATGAAAATATAAATAAACAATTAATTATTTTTTAATTCAGTTTTTTCAACTATTTATTATTCTTATCAGCAAAAATAAAATAAGAATTTAAACAAATCGAAAAATGTAGAAATAAAGCAGTAAGGACATATTTGAAAACGCCCACTCAATAAAAATACAAAAAGTTTAAATTTATTACACTCCTAAGGAATTTAATTAAGCGCAGAGTATGAAAATGCATTTATTCCTGTACGTAACAGGTAACGTAAAAAATTAAAATTTTTGTAATAATCGTGACTTATCACTATTTCTGAAATGGTTAACATTTCTTTCGAGAACTTTTTCCATTTTTTCACTAATTGAAAATATTCTGCCAATTTTTTTTACTTTAGTGTCGTCATATTTTTAATTCAAAACTTATTTGTCTATTAGACAGTTATTACTTCTTTGGTTTATATGCTGAACACCGCCCCCACTCCTTTTTTAATCCGACACAACTAAACGAGTAATACCTACACATCTTAACACGTATTTAACGGACAATAAAAACCTTTTGATAAATAATAAAACAATTAGAAATGGATTGACTACCCAAAAAAAAAACAAATAAATTAATATTCTAAACATCAACTACGTTTATTTAGTTAAAAAAATGAAAAAAAAATCAAACAAGTGCTATTATGTTTCTTTCAATTAAACCAAATTTTTACAGTTAACTAATCACATAATTCTCATGGTACCAATAAATAAATCGCCTTGGGGAGACAAAACGACATTAAGACTTGTAATATTAACATTGGAGTCCATACTGAGTAAATTTCATACCAAAGGTGAAACGTTAGTATTGTTTGCAAAGATTTAAAATTAAATATTTATTGAAACAGCTACTTAAGTATAAGTAATTCTTTCTAATATTTAAAAATAAATCGACTGGGGTTAAACATATTTATGCGTAACATTTGACAATCTGACCTGGTCAAACTAATTACTCTTTGATAAAGATAATAATTATATCCCTGTGCTAAGTCACACACGAATAGATTAAAAAAAATAGTAATGGTCATTACATTAAGCTAAAAATAAACGATAACTAGTAGATAATCCGTGAGAATAAATCTTGGTTTTTGTTAAACAGGGATAAGTAAATGCATTTGAGTTTGTAATAATATACTAAATATGTAATATGTACATGATGACATCAGCAAATAAACCAATCTTCTACAAATGTCAAAAACGACGAAAGGATTTACAAGTGTAGTACAGTTTTATTTTTACGAACCCTGGTACTTGTTTAAGTTCATCATGCAAATATGTGTTTCTGTTAGTTTAACGTTAAAATTAGAATCGTACAATTTAAACGGAGCCAACTAGTATAATACGCAGAAAAATTAACTCGACAAGGGCGTTAATAAATATTACCTACTTTTCTACAATTACTTTCTTGTACGACCAAGCAGCGTGCATAAATTTATTAACCATGAAACTTACCTGTTATATATTAACTTTTTAGCGCTTGTAAATGTTCTAATGTAATAAATCATGGTAGGTAAATGATAAAAATTCACAGTTGTTAAACTTCTTTGTTTCAAAAAATAATAAATAGGCGGACTGTGAATTTTAACTATTTTTTTTTTAATTTTAAAAAATTAAATACAATATTGCAACATATTAGGTACATAGAAGAGTCCCTATACATACCCCTGCCTTTGCTTTGGAAAATAATAAACTTTCAAACAGAGAAAAACTGCATCATAAAACTAGTAAACTGAAACCACCTACATTTCTACGAATAACATACATACATACATACCTACACTTCTTTAACTTGTTTTTCATGTATAATTGCATACATACATATTAATAGATAAAAATTACATCCATAATAACAGATATAGTACGTGTTTATGAGGTCAGCTATTTCTAATGCACTGTCTCTTTAAATAACTTGATAGCAATACGCCCTTTTTGTCTTGTTTTCATGTTATCGTTTGAACGATTTGTGGCATTTGAAATACACTCATAATTTACAAGTTATACAGAAAGACAACAATAACAATTAATGATTAACTATCCCAATGAATCACCCATAATTCTTATAATTCATTTTTAAATATATCTAATAAAGGTACCTAACANGGTTTCTATAATTTTTCATTATATTTTGTGTCAATTCCTTTTTTCCTTATATTTTCAAAAATACAGTATAATTCGCTATAAAAATTAATTTGGCGATACTGTAGTCTAACTATAGAGGGTAAGGAGAACTATCTTATATGGGGGGATTATTGAAAAAGTGTCCATCTATAAGCAGTAAATAACAGTTCAAAAACCCTCCAAAATGGCGCAAGAAAATATAATATTTTTAGTGACTAGAATAGTTAGTAACAGTCCAGTATACCAAAACTCAACTATTTTACGTAGTTCAAAGTAATTTTGTCCTTGTTTATTTTTCTATCTTATTCTTATAACTTTTGGCGCTTTATTTGAAATTTAGCTTGTAGCTACTGTGACGCCACCCTAATTTAATCCAATTTGATGGCCACTTTTTCACTACAAAGATAGTAACTACTTACCTCTTCTCTTCATAACTCTAACAGCTGACTGGTTTGACAGTCATCAACTAATATGGACGCTCAATCAAAGTGACCCAAATGACAAAGTTTTTGCACAATTGTGGCAAAAAATACTATACGCACCTCGGGAAGGAAATCCTTTCTTTGGTATATAATATACACTTACTCAGTTGCTGACTCTTATAAAAATTCTTATATTAATTCAAAATAATTTTTACCTATTAATGTTGGTGGACAAATGACTAGAGAATGTAGCGGAGCACAATCAGGAGCTTTGGTTTCTACGAACTTCTTGTCACGATCATAATGATCGCCTGCGAGAATACAAATTGACTGCAGTGTCTTTCCCAAACCCATATCGTCGCATAAAATTCCATGTAGTTTATATTTATTAAGAAACGCCAGCCAGTTAACACCCGCTTGTTGGTAACTTCTTAACTGCGCTCGAATTGGTACAGGTACTTTGTAATCTGGTATACTCGAAGGGGATAACAACTGCTTCAAGAATGCACGCTCTTTATCTCTTTTACCTTTAAAGACAAATTTAAATTGAGATAGTCAAGTAATTTCAATCTAATAATTGAAGCTTAAATACTTTTCTCAAATATGTCCTCTTTGTGACTAATTTCTTTTATTTTTTTTATAACTTAATCTCTGAGACGGATTATAATAAGCCTAGGAATGCTAGTTGATTCATTCTTAAGGAAGATTGAAATATATGTATGTAATGTGCAAAGTTTATTTAGAGGTTTTTGATAACGTTTGTTAAATAAATACATAATTACAAAACAGTTTCCCGCCTCTTGTAGAAGAAGCATCAGAATTGTGCATTCATTGTATTTTAACAAGCTAAGGTGAAGCGTCTATATCAATAAACAGTTCAGCGAAATTGGGGATGATAAAAGAATTCACATTTTATATCATTTTTTACCCTTTTCCTTCTATTTAATATTTATAAATAGTTCGCTCAGATTCTTACAAGCACAAAATTATTATTCCGATTTTTTAAAGTAGATATGAAACACTAAAAGAGAAAGTTTCTTACCATATAATTCACTGCAACTTAAAGCGGGGGGTTCGGGAACTCCACCATCTAAAGGCATGAGTTGAACGAGAGTGGCAAAGCTATGAGTTCCCATTAGCCTAACGCATTGGTTTTGATCCGACATTCTTCCAAGTAAAGGGACAACTAGGAGTACAACATATGGCACTATGTCAAACTGTAAAGTGTCGACTATGCATGCTATGGCTTCAACAGCACCCTGTCTATCGAAAGTGGAATCTGTAGCTGCCAACATTGGCAGAACTTTGCTAACGACTAGTTCCATGACAGGGACAGAATCCAATTTTGCCAAAACTGCCAGACAGCGAGAAGCCAAATGACGGACAGCTCGGTACGGATGCGATAACAGTACAGACAATCGAGAGAGACTAACTTCCAGTAAGGTCGGTCTTAAACTAACATGCACATGTGATGCTGTTACTTCGAATACCTGTAATGCCCATACAATCTCTTCTGCTTCGGCATCTTTGTCATATTTTTCACTTGGGTTAAATTTTTCAAAATCAACAGTCCGAACAAGCTGACCGACAATTAAATCCCACATTTTTGGCAACTTTTCTGGTAAACTTTCTCCAAAATACTTTACAATTTCTGCTAGAGCAAGTGTGCAACCACGCCGTTGAATTTGGTTAGCTTTTTGCGTTTCATCTTCTTCTTTGAACAATTCTTCAAGAGGTATATCGGTGGCGGCCGGTCGACTTTGTCCTTTACCTGAACTATTAGCCCTTTTAAATGCAGTCCTTTCCGCGTTACGTTGTAAGTTAGTTAAAGTCATAATACCTACATAATTGTTAGAAGAGCGTGCGCTCGAATCATTGACGGTACTACTAGACGAAGACTGAGTACGATAAATGACTGGGGTAAATTCGGGGTCGCAACGAAGGTAGGTGCACAAATTAACGAGGATTTTTTCGTTAGGACACAGATTTCGTTCTCGGCACTGATCCAATAAAAATGTTAGACGTTTGGCAGTTAAATTTTGTAGATACTCATTTTTTTCTTTTCGTATAGATTCCATAAGAGGTTTCACAACGGGCGTTAGTTTTTCCGGTAACGAACGAAACATGATCGTTGCCGCCGAAATGGCCGCCAACGTGCTTATACTTAACATAAACTGGTCACTGCTCGTTTGCGAAACGGCCCCTTGAATGCTCCTACGCCTCTCTTCCAGACTCTCTTGTATCTTTGGTTTAAGTTTCATTGACTGCAACGTTTGTTGCGTTGTGGAACCCGTAATTTGTTGGATATGATCCAATGTAAGCACGGTGTCATTTTCGATACTGATTGGAACTTTGTAGTGTTTCATCATTGCGATAAAGTCTTTCGTTTCTTGTGCGAGGCGAGTGAAACTGACAGCTATCTCGTCAAAATATACGCATTCAGACAAACAAAGGTGTAGCCTTTGTTTTAACAATTCGGGACAGGGATTCGATTCGACGTCCAATTCTGCCCATTCCGCAATCACTAAACCCGCCGTCATACGTTGTAGGGCAGATTTTGAGTTAAGATAAACTAGGAGAACTTTGACATAGCAGTCAATAGGTTTTTCGATATTTTGGCTGTAGTCTATTCCTGGCGCAGGTCGTACGATGTAACAAGAAAGTAGACCCAGCATTCGGGCTGCCATGCATCTCACACGAACCGCATTGTTTTCTCGTATTGAAAATAGAGTCGTTTCGCTGCCTCCGATGTACATTTTAGGCGTTACAACATTATGATCGAAATTATTTAAACCATCTATGATGTTTCTTTTTCGTTTCTCTGATTTTGCAATAATCATTAAGTTAAGATCAAAGGGCATGCGTACTGACTGCATACTAAGACATAACCAGACGCTGATGAGAGGGCACGCGGCATGTAGAAGTTCAACTAAACCAGAATTCTAAAAAAGAGACAATAAAAAATATTCCTTTTTTGCGGATCTATAAGATGGTAGTTGTGTTTCTATTTATTATAAGCTTTTATTCACAATTGCAATGTTTGTATGTTTAGGTCAAATCTTGCAAGCTGAATTAGAATCACTTGCCCTGATTTTACGGAATTGAATTTTTACATGATTTCAGTTTGGATGACAATGCATTTTTATGTTAAGCACGACCTTAATCGACATCCAGGAAAAAAATGACCACAAGTACGAACGTACGTACACACAAATAAACTTTAAGTTCAATCAAAACGATCAATTTGCGGAAAGTGGATAAATTGGATAATGTTAACATCAAAATAAACTTGCGAGGTGTTAAGAAAAAGCTAACAAAAGTGTGAAATGAAGACGCATGTGTTGCACCTGTATCAAGATACATTTAAAAACATAATTATAAGTTTAGACTCTAAATATAATGCACCGTAATATTATTCTAAGTGTATTCCACAAGACGAAAATAGCAAGTATAATGTTCTATTGTTTTGAAATGCATTGTCTCATAAGTAGCTTTTTTTGAATTACGTCAGAATTTTAAATATTAGAGCCGAAAACATAATTAAGCATTTTATATGAACAACAGCTACCAAGAAAATGCAATTAAAATTAGAATGCAAACGAAAATTATAATACTGCAGCACACAACATGTATACATGACAGCGCGACAACTACTGGTCTTGGTCGGTATGATGTCGACAGTATTTCATTGGAATATAGTAATTTCATATATGAACCAATTACTGCATAAAAATTTCTAATAATATTAAACCTACCTTTACTAAACGCTCCCAAACCTTTTCGGCCACCTCCCTAACATCACACTGTGGTTCTACCAGCACCCGTTGAAAGACATGTCTCATGGCGTCCTGCAACAACTGGGCGCTCCACATTAGTTGGCTATCATTTGTGGTTTTTTCCGTAAGAGTGTACAAAGTTTGCAACGTGGCCTTTCTGACAGAAGAAGTACTGTGACTCAAAAATGGCCATAAACGTGGCACAACGTCGCATAGTGGTTGCGGAGGCAATAATTCTTGTACTTTTGAACGACTCAAAATTGCTGCAAGTAACCCCATGAAGCTGTTACAGGCCGCTGCTAATTCATCTTGTTCGGCAAGAAGATCCCAAAGTTTCGCCACAACTGTTGGAAGATGTTGAGGAACCAACTCGATAAGTTTATTTGTAACAGGAATAAGTGCAGACGCGGCAACAGCGCCTACATCATCCACTGGATCCGAGAGCCCAGACAAAATTTTGTCAAACGACTCACTAAATAGCAGCGGCACAATATCTTCTCTTACAGCGACAAGATATTTCAGTCCTAAAAGACCACCATGGCGTGCTTCCCATTCGCTCTGTTCAAGCAATTGCAAAAGAATTCCGAGTGCTGCTTTGCAAGATGTATCGCTCGCTATTTTTAAAACGGTGCAAAGACACTGAGCGCAAGTTTCACGAACTGGAGCCACAACTGAATCAGAAATGAAATCGCCAAACCTATCGAGAGCTAAAACACAGAGAAGCCTAATTGCTATGTCTTCTAACCATATCTGATGTTGCTCTTCCATCTACGAAAAGATAACTTATAAATTTTCTACAATCTTTAAATTTTTAAAAACTGACCTGTTCTTTGGTAAAATAATTGGCTTTTCCTGCACTTCGTCCATGAACTGAAAGGACTTCCCGGAGAGCCGTTGCTGCTCCATGTCTGCTTTCCCAACGACTACTAAACAAATCCTGGCTCAAAAGATCACAGAACCATTCCAGTGGCCAGTCTCCGTCATTGCTATCAACTTCAGCTGAAGAGAAAACAAAAACAGAAATAAAATAATTTAATAATTTTAATAAACCTTACTTGATACACTAAATCCCTGGTGCATTTCTTCTTTTACCCGAAGATCTTCGAATTTGATGCGTTTTTTTTCAGGTTCGTCGCCGTTTGTAGTTGCTGGTTCGTCGTTTGGTTCTCTAGATCTCTGTTTATTTACAGCTTGCCGAGCTTTCCGTTTGGCCCGGTTCATTTCTCTTGAGCTTAAACCAACTTCGCCAAATATCACATCTTTTACTGATTTCTAATAAAAAATAAAATAATAATACCATATTTGTCCGACATATTTTTCTGAGTTCTAGATCTTCTGTAAGATATAAATGTAAGTGAGCAATTAACCCACCAATATCTTGAAGTTAATGACCTAACTTAAAATTATGGACTTAGGATCACTATATATATGTACGTCATTCTTGAAGATCCAGAACTCCTTGTTAACGTTTTTTCACCAACCAAAAAAAAAACAAATTTATTCCTTACTTTATTGTTTTCTTCAGTTTTGATGTGGTTTTCGGATTTTATACAGCTTGCAACGGCGAGATCTTCGTTGGAAAAAATTCCAGAAGTATCTAGACCGATTTTGGTGGCGACATCTAAACCCAATCTAGCATTTAAACACTGCCTTTGTCTTGCCATTTTCTCTTTTAAGTCAGCTCCTATTTTATATAAAACTTCATCAGTATTTAAAAATATTTTTCCCACGTATATTCATAAGTATTAATTAAAGAAAAATAAAATAAGCTTTTTAACGTTGGGTCGTGGAGATTTCAACGAATTCAATAATTAAAGAAAATTTAAAAATTTCGTAGAATGTTCCCTACTTTATATGTAGCAACAAGGTCAGATATGAAGGGCTAATTAGGGACATATTAGTAGCAAAAACAGGAGCAGTTAGATGAGACTACTGTTCACAAACAGTTAGGGATATGGGATGTTCTTGATTTAAGGAAATATGTATACTGACTCAGGAGACTCAGTCTTAGGACTGACATCACCGTAATGATTATGAACATGCAGGATCTATATACGATAACAACGTCTTCATATAAAATGTATCTAAATATTTATGTCTATCTTACCTGTTGAACCATCTTCTTCTACGTCATATTCGGTACCTTCCGAACCCATAAGGTGGGTACTATTCGCAAGCACCTTTTCCATGTCAAAATGACTAAATCGTAGTCTTCCAATAGAAGAAAGAAACTGTGTTTGACCATCGTCATCTGGAATGAAAAAAAATCTCTTTAAGTCTTTGTAGAACTAAATAACAATTTGCTAAATTGCTAAAAGTATCTAAACAACTCATTGTTAACATTTGTATTTGTCATTTTTTCTGAATATTAATACATAAATATGTGATAAAGAAAAGATGTTGAAACAAAGACATTTACAAAACTACAAACCATTTTTCTAATAGCAGCAATATACCAAGATATATTCTAAAGAATTAAAAAGTTACACTAAATATTATAAAAAATTAGGTATTTCCGGTATGTAGTTAGACTTCATATGCCTATCTATACTGATAAATTTCTATATTTTAAAATCTTTTTAAATAAAATAATTAGGGGCTGCTCGGCTTATAAAACTAACATACTATTTTTCATTATTTAATAAGTAATCTAAAAACTTCGTCAACGTATGGGTATTCTAATGAGTATTTTGAAAATTCCATTTGTAATTCTAGGCAGTATCAGTGACAACAAATTTTACATCTTTCAAGGTTATCAGCTAGTGTGACTCAAAAATGGCCATAAACGTGGCACAACGTCGCATAGTGGTTGCGGAGGCAATAATTCTTGTACTTTTGAACGACTCAAAATTGCTGCAAGTAACCCCATGAAGCTGTTACAGGCCGCTGCTAATTCATCTTGTTCGGCAAGAAGATCCCAAAGTTTCGCCACAACTGTTGGAAGATGTTGAGGAACCAACTCGATAAGTTTATTTGTAACAGGAATAAGTGCAGACGCGGCAACAGCGCCTACATNCCATAATAACAGATATAGTACGTGTTTATGAGGTCAGCTATTTCTAATGCACTGTCTCTTTAAATAACTTGATAGCAATACGCCCTTTTTGTCTTGTTTTCATGTTATCGTTTGAACGATTTGTGGCATTTGAAATACACTCATAATTTACAAGTTATACAGAAAGACAACAATAACAATTAATGATTAACTATCCCAATGAATCACCCATAATTCTTATAATTCATTTTTAAATATATCTAATAAAGGTACCTAACATCTAATTTGTAAAAATTATTAAAATAATGTGACTTGACTTGCAAAAAAATTTCATTAACTACAAGCACAAAGCTATAAAAAATATGTGATATTTTAATATTTGTAGTAAGTAGTTGCATATAGGTAAGTTGATTATTGTATTTGCTTTTTTGCTTTATACAAGTTTGTATTATTTAGACTATTTAAACAAAGTTTTCATTATCATTATTATTATATTAAATATAATAAGTTTTTGGAATCATTATGAATTCCCTTAAATAAAAAAAAAATGCAAGAGAATAATTTTAAACAAGTCGGTAAGATAACGAATTACTACAGTATGTAGATTTTAAATGTTACCAAGGATGAAATTGTAGACTCACAATCCACATTAAGAGTATTAACGATAAGTAAAAATTATTTTCCAAATCGAAAATTTTATTTACAACATTTGATAACAATTATCTTTTACTGATTTAGATATTTTATGATAACCTATGCAATTTATCATACCATCCCACTTGCTTTATCGGGCAAATAATTTAAAATTTCCCTTATCTTTCTTTCATTTTAGATTAGATCATAAAAATAATATTAAATAAAATTTAAAGAATAAACTGTTAATGAATTTCACAAAAAATGAACAAGGAATATATGAAAAAACCTACCTGACTTCGGTACTCCTGAAGGATTCCACTCTGGTACATTACTCACTATTGCTCTGACGGCTTCTGCAGCAGCAATTCTTGTATCCCAATTAACTGATCGTAAATAACCAGCGGTTCTTGATAGAAGTGTATTCAATTCATGTGGATGTAACTTTTGCACTTCACCTAACTGTCTTGCTGCAGCTAACCTAGTCACTGAAGAGCTTCCTGTTTCAAGTAGGACAAAAAGCCTGTCTAATCTAAAACCAAAACACAAGCACTTATTGAAGTTGAAGAGAGCAAATACTATCTCTTTCTATGAAGTGCAGAATTCCTACCTGCTTGAAGTCATCTCTCATTTGCAGTAATTACCTATCATAGTAACTGAAAATAAAGAACAACAATTAAAAAAATTTTCATCAAACGTCAATAATTCATGAAAAGCATATGGCCAACATTTGATGCAAAGCATTTTTTATTTCCTTAAATCAAACAATTTAGAAGTAAAATAGAAATAATTAGCATAATGAAAATAATAATTTCAGAGCAAAACATATATTATATAGCTTCCTGACATATATACTTTTACGCAGTTAAATTGATATTAATATGGAGATCCAAATATTTTTTGACTAGATTCCTAACAATTAACTATTGAATAATAGAAATTTAGTGAAGGGCAATTCTACTTACATCGTAAAAGAGCTGTTATGCATTTCGCAGAAACATTTTGTACCTTTGAGGAACAATTTTTGGCTTTTTTTGCTTAAATAATAAAATAAATATCTTTGCATATCCACTTTTCACAGAAGGGAAGTCCATCATTCAAGGTTCAAATTTATACTGACAGCCATACTGCTGATCGGTCCGACTTTAAGCCACGGTTTATTCCTGATTGGTCACAGAATCGTTTGGAGGTACGAAAGGGGTGAAAAATAAATACAACAACTATAATCATAAGTGTATTGTGAATTTTTTAAACAACTTATAAAAAAAATGTTGATACAAATAGTTTACAAAGTAGAAAAAAAGTAACCAAAAGAAGGTAATTTAAATCAAACAAATAATGGAAATATTTATTATAAGCATTATGAAATTTTTATATGATTGCAAATGTGCCATTGACTAAACTTTCGTGGCTTTCGTGATTAGTGTAAAAATAATAATTAATACTCAAAATGTCAAAACCTTCAAAAAATTCTAAATTTAAAAGCCAAAAAAATCGTAACAGTAAAGTTCATTTAGTTTTTGATGAAAATAAACGAAGGTAATATCTGGAAACGTTTTTCTAAACTTTTACATGTATTTTATAGGAACTTCTTGATTGTTTTTCAATATAACCTAAAAAGTTGATAAATGTGATCCTTTTAGAGAATTTTTATGTGGCTTTCGGAAGAGGAAATTACAGCGCAAGCAAAAAGCGCAAGAAGAATTAAAGAAGCAACTTAAAGAAGAAAAGAAACGATTAAAAGCTGAAGCAAAAGAGTGCTATAAAACTCTAGTAAAATCGTATAAACCTGTTCCTGAAGTTGAACATTTACTCTTACAGGAATATGAAGAAGATGAAGTGAATGTTAAAGTTCTTGAATTATCTACTAGTGAAATAGCTAAACATAACAATTGGATTGGACCAAATTGTATAAAGTACGAAGATGAGGAGAATGAACAAAACAATATAGAAACACACTCTGAAGTGTTAGAAGAAATTCCTGGAATGGAATTGCAATCAAAACAGAATCGTGCCACTACTAAGGCTTCTAAAGTAGCATTTAGCTCAGAGAAAGATCTTAAAAAGACTCTAAAAAAGCAAGCAACCAAGAATATTAAAAATAGTAAAGTCTTTCAAAAGAAAGGAAACATTGAAAGGATGAAGCAAAAGAAGAAAGCATTACAACAAAAAAAATTAAAGTTGAAGTTAAATAAAAAGGGAAAACAAGATATTAAAAAAAATAAATTTAAGCACAAAAGGTAACATTTTGTAAAATATTGTATATTCATTAAAGGTTTTTTAGGTTTATTATCGATTCATCTTATTTTCTAACATTTTTTGAGTAATTTAAATAGTTTATTGAGAAATAGATGTGTACATGTTTACTTATCCATTAACGTAGCTACAGCCAAGTATTTATATGTATTTGAGTAACAATCAAAAAAGGTATTATTTTTTCTTATTATTATTATTATTCTTACCAAATGGGCACAGGCTTTTATTTAAACAAGTCTCACACTGAGGCCTAACAGGCAAACAAATTTGCTGACCAAAGCCTACAAGGAGATGATTCACTTCACTCCAAAGATCAAAAGGAAGCCATTTTTCTAATGCTTTTCTGGTTTCTTCTGGAGTTTTTGTGTTAACCCATTTAAGTCTATTAGTAATTCGATGAACATGGGTGTCTACACCTATAGAGGGCAAAATTGTCGTAGGGCATATCAAAAATCAAATGTTTTGCTTATTTTAACAATATAAATATTTAAAATATAATCAAAGCAATTAATTTCAAAAATGAGTTTAAGATTTTAAAGCATGTCTTATCAAATTTTACGAATATCATAATTGTTTCATTATAACTTTATTTTAATTGTTATTGTATTGTACCTACATATAT